TCTCTTGGTATTCTCATGCGTTTGCTTACGTGTGACCTACGTGCGCCCACACAAGTCTAGGGCGTTTGTCTAATAATAATAATGACGATAATAATAATAATAATAATAATAATAGTGATAATAATAATAGTGATAATAATAATAACAATAAATAAATAAATAATAATAATAATAAAAATAACAATGATAATGATGATAATGGTAATGAAGATGACGTTAATAACAATAATAGTAATAATGATAACAATAATGATGACAACAGTAAAAGTAATGGTAATGATAATAACGATGATAATAATAATTATAATAGCAATAGTGATAGTAATAAAGATAATAACAATATTGGCAATAATAATGATAATAGTACTGGCAGTAACAATGATAATAATAATGATAATAATAATAATTTCTTTTGCAGCGAATGTAGTCAACGAATAGGGGTACCATAGAAATCTTTGTAAATCATTTTTATTCAGAACCTAGTAATCATACAAGAAATAATGAGCACATCTTACATTAAAGCTCACAGAACGAACACGTAGAAAAACGCCAAAAAAAATACCGCAGTAACAATAACTAGTAGTTCTTCGGGCAATCAGTGCGGGTATCCCATGTTAGTGATATTACTAGAATACAACACATATAAAGTTTTGATCTTTGATTCCCCAAATTTTGATTTTTTTGATTTTTTTTCTCAAAATTTCTTATAATGCTATTTCTGAATGCGTTTGGGTTTTTTTCTTTCACTTTACTTTCCATATTCACTTATATCTATTCGTCATTATACCACCCCTGCAACCTCTGATATTTGTCCCAGGAAGAAAGGAATTCTGGGAAATTTTCATATTTTAAATGATAGCTGTTACTTCTGCTTTTGCCACTGTTGTTAAAGGTAATTGGAGCTAACAAGAGTTATTTCCTTTTTCTCCTGATGTTTCCTTTTTTAACATTCAATGAGTATCACGGCGGGATTTTGCGGGAAATCACTCAAAGTCCTGAGGAACATCTCGATTTTCTTTGATCACAAAATCAAACATATGAGGGTTTTTTTTCGAATCCTGCTGGCACGGGATTCTGGAGCTCGAGCTCGATTTAGTAGGTAAATTCGGCTTTGAAATTTTTCGCCATAACGCCATGTTCGTTGTTCGCAACGCATGCATAGATCCCCTGATCGCCCATTGTGGCCGGATCAATCTCCAGCTTACTCCAGAGCATATCCTCTCCCAGAAGTTTCTCGTAATACTGAAATTTTAGCATTCATCTATAGTTTTCTTCCAAAATTCAAGCATATCAGAAAAAGCTGAAAAATTTGTACTTTTGTGAAAAATTTTTTACATTTTTTCCAAACTTTCACTGTTTTTTACATTTTTATACTAAATTTTTGTTTTTACTTTTTTCTGGGTTTGGTCTAAAATGGGATTCACTTACGACTTTTTCAACATAACTTTTGCCAGGCAGATAGAGGTTTACATCTTTCTTTTGCACTTTTCTCATTTCACTTCTTATTTCAACTACGCTATTTACCAATATATAGTTTATAAAAGAAATGATAAAGGGCTTACGTGAGCGTTACTTTTAGGATGCATTTCAGCACCTTCCTTGTACCACTTAATTGTTGGACGTGGTGTACCTTTAGCTTTGCAAATCAGCACTAGTTTATAACCAAGACGGAATGTTTGACTAAAATGCGATCCAGTGACAATATGCGCACTCTGAAAATTTGATTCTAATCAGTTAATTATTGACATTTTATCAGTGGGAGTGTTGCTGTTGGCATTTGTTAGTTTCGGAATACTTCCGGGTGCCTCTCATAGCGAGTGAATACAGAGGGAGTTTTGATATTTGAGCATAAATGTAAATTCATTTGAGTGATCAAGCTACTTTTCATGGCTTAGGGTTGATTTATCTGGGATGAGATGGGGGTATTCAACAAATACAAAAGATATTAGAGACGGCTGAACTCACTGGTAAATCCAAACCCTTGTGTCGCGGAAAACCCACAAAAAGCCGAACAAGAACCCGCCACAAAGAAAAAGGAAGAGAGGTGAATCCTATCTTGAAAGACAGATACAAAGTAGATGTGCTTCCAGGCTGAGCCAAAGCACAAGAACTGGTGGTGTAGTGGTAACACATTGCGTTCGGGCGTGAAGAGGAATGGTTCGATCCCCTGCCAGTCCAGAACAATTTTTGGAGAAAGGGCTTCGTTCATGACACATACTGACGAATTCCGGTTGTGCTGCTGAATGGGAATGTAATAAGACTTAGCGGACCGAATTCTTGTTCATCTAATTTTTTTAGTATTTTTAGTATTATATTTTTAGTATTAACTCCTTTATATCCATCAGTATCTCTGTTATTATTAACATGGGATTCCTATACCGATTGTCTGTGACCGTCGTAGTGTTCTTTGTATATTAACTAAAAAATGTATGAAAAACGCGAAACTTACGTTATTATCGGCAAGTTGTGTATGTACCAATGAAAATTCAGCAACTTGTGCAAATTGCAGATTGCTCTTGCCTTTTCCTTTACCGGCTCGTCGACCACCTCGTGCATCAATCAAAGTTATCACAGCAGCGAAGATTATCACTACAGCGATGGCACTGCCTCGACGAAGAAAAAAAAGAAAACCCATAATCCGAAGGCATATTCCGGAATCGGTGCTACAACACCTTCATCCGGGTTATCGGCGATATATCCATAGGTTTGTTCAAAAAAAATTTCGCGCCATTTTATGTATTTGCTTCCTGAAAAATAAGTTTTATAAGCTTTACAACTTGAATTTTGTTTCTCGGAATTCAGCCTAGCATCTGACAAAATGAAAGACGGGACAGGGG